ACGTAGGAGATGGCAACGCGGTGCGGAGGATGCTACGTGCCGCGAGGGCACTGGGGCAAACAGTAGCTCCGGTTCCTCTGACCGGCAATCTGAGCCCTACAGACATACATACATACATACATACATCCATACATACATACGTACATCATGTCATGTTATGATCTCCCAAGAGTCCTCGTGCACATCGGTCGCACCCACAAATACCGCACGCACACTCGCTCGCTCGCTCAATCGCTCGCAGGCAGGCACGCAGGCACGCAGGCCTTGATGAACGATGCTGCTGCATCCCTATCACATTTATCAGGTTGCCGCGCCTCGACCCTCGTTGCAAGACAAGCACGTTGCCTAGCTCGATGTGTAGTTTTTCCTTGGTTGGGTGCCTTCCAAGTTCACGGCCTCCAGGCTTGGGTGGTGCAGAACGTTTGCGGCATACATATTGATGGCGTCAAAAAACGAACGCAGGATGTGGGAATTCCTACCGGTGGAAATCCTATACGCGACTCCGAGACTGGACCTGCGCCCAAGCTTCGGAGCTCTGGGCTCTGGGCGGCTTGCGGGGGCTTGCATGTGGACCTTGCCATTCCGGCACATTTTCGCAATCATGTTGGCAATGTGGATACTCATGGGCGGAGTACTGTCGAAGGGCGGACAACTTTATAAGCGCAGTTTGCAATCGCTGGCATGCAAAAAAGGCCCGCGACGATTCGGAGGGTCAGGCGTTGCACCTCGTGCACCGCAGTCCGAGAGTCGCTCCAGGTTACCGTGCCGAAGGTCAGTACGCCACAGACGCCACAATGGGGCCGAGGCCGAGGCCGAGGCCGAGGCTCCTGAGATCCTTCGGCCCTCCTCGGCTCTCTCTCTCCGGCCTCTTTCCGGGGTTCACGGCTGTGGCACACTCCTTTCACCTTTGCGGACCCTTCCCGGGAATCAAGCGAGGGACGCCGGCAGAAAGTCTAATCACGGCGGGCAACACACAACGGAACCAAACAAGAAGCTCTGCCAGTCGGCACGCTCAAGAGACTGCCAATATCCCAGCTCAGCCGCCAGATCGAGGATGGTCACTCCCAAGAAAGAGAAGACGAAGAGAGCAGTTTCGGTGCATTTTGCTGCCGTCGCTTCACCCCAAAGACAGGTTCCTCTGCTGTCAGCAAGGCCGCCAGTTCGGGTGAGAGTCCCACCAGAAGTTGCCGCACCTCGGTTCACAACGTGAGTCGTCGCTTTCATGGCTTCAGAAGTTCACTTCCTTGCCCCTGCCGGCCCAGCCTCCGCGGGAGTCGCCTTCGAAGGCGCCTCGAGCTCGAGCTCGAGGCTGCGACCGAGCCTTTCAGGCTCAGCGCCGCCGCCTTCGCCTTCGCCGCCCAGCGCGAGGAGGCCCAGCAGTCGCGGGGCGGCGCGGAGGTAGCGCTGCGTGAGCTCCCGGAGCACTCGCCCGGGCACCAAGTGCAGCCGCTGCCGCAAGAGCCTCCGGTCCGACAGCGGCCGGAGGCCGGAATGCGGGGTGTCAGAGCTTATAAACACAAAGAACTTCCCTCTTCATCCCTCGCATCCGACCTTTCGAAGAAACTGACTCTCTTTTCTCCGAGTCCGAGGAGCAGGTTTTGGAGCTGGTCTGCCAGGAGCAACACCAGGCCTCGAATCGCGATCGAAGTCGCGATGCGGGCCCTAGACATGCAGCCTGGCCTGCAGCCAGCAGGGCTGCACTACAAAGGAGCTCGGACCTGTTTGGCTGCGGGCTGCGGGCGCACGAAGGGGCGCGCATCCGGGCATCACGTTGACGTGGGCCCCGTGCGGTAGACTGGCGATCAGCAGGCGCCTAGGTCAAAAGGTGCTCGCAAAGGGATGACATGGCGGAGGACATGCGCTGGCACTGGTCCTCTCGGCTTCCCCGCAGCTGTTGCAGGAGTCCCAGGGATCCCAAGAGGCCCAGGGCCAGTCCCGGAAAGAGCAAGGATGCGTTGGCGGACGCGCCCTCTTTCTGCGCCTCCGCCCTCCTGCGCCCGCTCGCTTTTGAGACGGGAAACACTCCCTGGTTTGCCGTGGCCCCCCGTGTGCCGCCTGCAAGGTGCCATCCGGCTGCCCACCGCGCCGAACCGCCGAAGTCCCAACTGCCCAAACGCAAAAAAAACCTGTTCTAAATACCTGTTCTACCTCTTCCCTCTTTTGGGCCGAGAGCACTTCGAGTCTTGGAACGTCTTGGGCCAACACGGCGGCTACGGCTAGCGGAGAATCGGACTCTGAAGCATCGAATTTTGGCTCCTTTCTTTCGCTCAGAGCTGCAAGGCGAGATGCAACAATTGGGGGGGTCACCAAAAACGGGGGTGCTAGGAATACTTCAGCGGCTACACTGCGGAGGCGCCGGAGATGATCTCGCAGAGCTCGGTGGTGATCTTGGCCTGGCGGGCCCGGTTGTACTGGAGCTCCACCTTGCCGTACATCTCCCCGGCATTCTTCGAGGCGTTCTCCATGGCATTCATGCGCTGGGCCGTCTCCGTGGTGGTGCCTAGAACCCGACACAACTATAATTACATTTCGATCTATATCGAAGTATAGATGGCGAGAGTCGATGGCGATCCGTCTAAGGGCGCGGCTCTGTATCACGGAGCCGTAGATGACGCAGCCATAGTAAAACTCGTGGAGGTCCTCACGCGTAAGCAGACAAGCGCTCAACGCCCAGCAATGGCCAAACAGAAGCAAAGCACTGCAGAGCACTGCCGAGGTGGTTTTTCTTTGTTTGGGAGGACCAGGGGTGGGCTGATGCTCCTGACCCTGCAAGCAGATTTTGCAGTGTCGAGACACACCTCGAAAGTCGACGCTGCGTCACTGGATCTGGGACATTTTGTTGCACACCGAAAAGCTGCGAAGCTCAATCTAAAGCTGTGAGCAGCCGGTGCAGAAAATGGAGATCTTCGGACACTTGGAGCTCTGCGGGGTTCGGCCTGGGGCCTCCTGGGGCCTAGGGTCCTCTGGTATTGTGTATGCCATTGCTTTCCGGGGTCCCTGCTTCAGAGCTTGCTATGACTTGCCTTCCGGTCACTGCGGCTCGCCAGCAGACAAGAGTATACGGCTACGGGTTACGTGGAAAGCCAGGGCCAGGGCATGCAGGACCGTTGAGATTCGTCAATGTGATGCTACATTCAAGCATGTGCCCACCGACGCTCGGAAGAAATAGGGCCAGTGCCTTGTACGAGAACGATCCATCTCTCGTGCCAGTGCTATTTGCGTGCCATATAAGCAAATTGTGACACACACACACACATACATGCACAGACATAGATAGACCGAGAGAGATAGTGAGGCAGGCTGGCAAGCAGGCACGTACTCAAAACAAACACAACACACACACACAAACACCCTTACGGTGGCTGCCTGCCAGACTTCGTAGATGGAAGGCTCAAAGGAGTAGACGTCCATTGCCTTGGTCCATTCCCCTCGGTCCATTCCAGTGGCCTCCGAAAAGCAAGAGCACCAGCTAAGCACAGGCTCAGCACTCTCGGAGACTCGATTTTAAAAGCTGAACTCCCTTCCTCGTCGACGGTGTAGGTATGATGGGCAATCGTGTCGTAGGAGACCATGGACTTGAACTCATTGCTCACAACCTGCTGACAGGCTCTTCATCCAGGTTCTCTGCGGCCAGCGACCTGGCCTTGCAGCGTGCCGGCTTGCTGGCAGCAATGCGCTCCGCGATGACGGAGGCGGCAGCAAACGTAAAGGGCACTTTGGAGCATTCCTCAAGAACGGGACGGCGCGTTGGAAAAATAGACCCAGGCAGGCAAGCGTGTGGCAACGCGTGAGCCTCGAAGGTGGTGCTAAATCGATCGCCATAGAGGCGTTTCAGCGCTGCGACACCCTGGGAAAGGAGGGGCAAAGAGAGAGAGAGAGAGAGAGAGAGAGAGAGAGAAGAGGGAGGGAGGGAGGGAGGGAGGGAGAGAGACGCGCAGGTGGAGGCACAGGGCCGTTCCCACTGCCTTGCCACCCACCACCATGATCTTGGAGACGTTTCCCTTCGCCTCTTCGGCTGTCACGCCCAAGCGCACCTGCTTGGCGACCTCGGCGCGGCCATGCGCCGTTATCATCAAGTGTTACTTAGGGTTATATAGACTTAAAGTTAGAATATATATATATATACATATATATATATATATATGTTAATATATATATATATATACATATATATGTAATTATGTGATGAAGGGCACAGTCGCAGCAGGCCGAGGCGGCCGAGGCGGCTCCGAGGCGGCCGAGGTGCTGCAGTGTTCACGCCTCCGCAAAGGCCCTTGTCAGAGGTGACGGCCACGTAGGTCACCCCTCCGGCCTGCCAGCACATCCCACACCGATCCCTACGTAGAGTGGGAGAGGGCCATGACCCTCCTTCTCCTCCGCTGGCAAGCGCTGGAAGAGATTGAGAACAGGGTTGGCAAAGGGCAGGCTGTTTTCCATCGTCCTGACCAAAATCAACACCCCCCCTCATCCCCCCTCCTCCCCTCTTGGCCCAGTCGGGTCTCTGATGCCCGTCCGAGTCCTCATGTCCTTCTTGAACTTGGCCGTTGCCACCATCTTCATAGCCTGGCTCAAGGGGGGAAATGACGCGCCTTTTTTTCCTCCGTCTGGCGTTGGCCATTCAGTCCTTGGTGATCTTCTGCATGTTCTTGATGGCCCTCATGCGCACCGAGAGTGTTTTCAGGGTGGCGGCGCCCCTCGCTTGCTGGCCCACGGCGGTGTTGGACGGTTCCAAGGCGTTGCATGTTGGCAACCGCATCGCCGCGGCCGCTCCCACGCGGCGCGGGGCCAGGGGCCCAAGCCTGGCGGCTGAAGGCGGGGATTCGGCGCGGATTCGGCGCTGCGCGCGGGGCCCCCACAAACCGACCGCTTTTCCCCAACACCGAGACCCGACCCGCCTCGAGAACATGGAAAGCATCGCTAGAGCGGCTCAGCGAGCGCAGGCGGCGCGCTTCCGCGACTCGTGTCTCTACCTGAAGCCGAAAGCCACAGCCTCCCAGCCTCCTGTGACGAGCCATGCACCTCTGGAAGGAGGCTCTCGGACTCTAAAAGAGACGAAAAGAGACTCACAGTCTTTTTTTTGCCTTCGGAAGCTGCGACAGCTCTGGGAAGGCTTCGGGGCCCCTCGGGGTCTCGGGGCTCCAGATCTGCGCCCTTTATGGCACGAAAGACGAAAGAGCCTCCCCGAGAGAAGGGCGTCCCTGCTGCATCCCTGCTGCGTCACGGCGTCACGTACGTCGCTCTCCTCTCTCGAAGCCCGGCCTGGCAGTGAGAGAGCAGCCGGTCTCTAAACGCTTTTCACCGATGGCAATCGACGGCCTCTTTGACGGCTAAAGAAACCCAGGTCACGTCATCCATAGCATCATGAGCTCACACTCGGTCCACAGACTCGAGAAGTCAGTGGCCTACACAGTGGACTCTACCTACTGGCACTTCGGGTGGACCCATCGACACATCGACATGTCCACGGCTGGAGAGCTCTGGGAGTATCACTCTTTAAAGCTAGCGATGCGAGTCTGGCTAGCCAGAACTTCCACTGGCTCTTAACCGATGTTCTAGTCCGGATTGCGAGTCCGCCTCGGGATTTCGCAGGCAAGCGACGCGCCTGCTTTTGGCCGGGCTGGTTGCCGAGGTTGCTGAAGTAATTGGGGAAAAGGCCTGGCTTCCATGGCTACAGTCTCTATTAGTCTCCATGCTCTGCGGTGCTCTGCGACACGCTCTATCCTGAACGGCGATCGCATCCTCTTCGCTGGAGCTGTCTTCCAAAGTGGCCACCGAAGACAGTGACAGGTGCCTGCGAAGCCGAGTGCACAAAGAGACAGCTGCTTGCTCTCGACGCTCTCACATGCAGTTAGCGCTGCCTGTTCCAGAGCATCTGCCAGTTAGGCCTCAACGGTTCTATCATCGTGGACAGGAGCGACGATGCGGAACAGAGTTCAGCTATGCAGCCTATGCATGTGTACTAGCATCTCTGCGGCCATACGGTCTGTACATCCGACAGAGGGGGGATTCCGCTGGCCGCTGGTCGCCCTCCTGCGAATGCTCTAGGCCGCGGCCTCCGCTCGTCTCGGCGCACTGCATCGCGCAGTCTGGCATACGGCAAAGAAGCATGAACAAGTTAAGCCGCACCCTGAAGCTCTCGCCGCTCTCTGCAGGATCAGAAACCCTGAAGCTCTCGCCGTTGTATGCATTTACCTTTCTTCCTTCTTCCCCAGGCTTGAAGGCCGGCATATCTTTCTCTTCGCTTCACTTCACTTCACTCCGGGGTACAAGGAGCTGTTCAGGCTGCGCGCCCCGCCGCGCCCCTGCCTCTCTTTCTCTCTCTCTCTCTCTGCTGTGGCTCCCGGCAGGGCCCAGCGCGCGGCCGCGGAAGCCGGGGAGACCTCGCGCCGGAAGCCGCGGGCACAGTGCAGAGCTGAGCTCAGGCTCGCCTCTTCCTCGGGCTCCTCGGGCTCCTTGTGCGACCTGCGTCCCAAGACTAGAGCAAGAGCACTGGACTGGACGCTGTCCCCACACTCAGGCCGAGACAGAGCGGTTGCAGCTGAAGCACCTCAGAATGTGGAGCAGTGGAGGGGTCGCAATATCGGGCCGGCCGTGCATGCGTCATGGAGGGCAGGCAGTGCGAGTCGGGTAAGTGGCGGGCTTCGGGGTCGCAGGGGTTCCCCCGCCATTGGCACCAGGCGACACCTGCAGAGACATGCAGAGCGGCGTCGCAGAGCAAAAACGCTTCCGCCGCGTGCGCCTGGGCTCCGCCTCGCTTGCGGCTCCCGGCGGCAGGCCCTTGGCCCATTCCAGCGTCGTCAGTCCCGTGAGGGCCAAGTAGGCATGGAGAGCTGCGCGAGCGGGGGCAAAGGACAAATCTCTCTCCCCCACATGGCATGCCAGAATCTGTGCTCTTCTCAAGTGCCGCAAAGCTGTAGCCTAAGAGGATGAGCAGCCAGACGCTGGTCAGTGCAGCGAGGGAAGCCGCGGCCTTTACACAGAGCTGAAGTGGGCGAGTCAAGCAAGGGCTCCCTTCGAAGGCTCGGTCTCCGGCTAGGACAACTGGCCGGTGCCCCACGGCCAGCCGCCGACTGAAGAGAGAATGCAAAGTATCGCGGGCCCACGTTGGCAGGTTGACTCAAGGAGTGAGGGTGAATTTATCACATCGGGCACGGTTCGGGCCTGCGGATGTGGCGACTGCGGAAAAGGGCCGAAGCAGTAATGCAGCAACCTGCGAAATGTGGGAGTTTGCAAAACCTCTCAAACGTCATAGCAGTCATAGCAGCATGTCTCCTGTCTCCCGAGGCCGCTGCTAAGAAGGGTCCAAAGGCAGAGTGACACCACGAAGACGACCCAGGGCCGGTAGTTGCCCACGCCGATGCACTGGGAAAGGGAGAGGGCAGAGGCAGGCAACAAACAGTCAACGGAAAACACCGCGCGAGAGTCGTCCTTTTCGACATCGAGAAGGTCCCACATAACACAAACACACAGACACACAAACACACACACACACACACACACCAACCACTGTGATTGTGCGTGTGGCCTTAGTTTTTTGGATTGCTATTCAAATTTGGGGCATCAAACAAGTTACATGCTTGAACTAAACAAAATCGGACTGTCGTGGATTCCCTTCTTGAGGCTTCTTGAAATAATTGAAACAGTCACATCGGGGGTGATGTATTTTTCAAGTATTTTGAAAATTTTGGAGTGCTAGATGATTCAAACAATTAAGACAATTACATCGGTGTTGACATATTTAATTCAATTATTTCGATTATTTAAAACCCCGGGGATCTGTCTTGAGGGCTATACGAATACAGGGTATACTCTATCTCACTGATGTTTAGAATCTGAAACCGTGGTGGCTTCCACTCGAGGTTTCCCCATCATTTACACACTTTAAATTATTGAATCGGGTGGTGGTTTTACTTATTTCAAACATTCAAAATTTCGGAACGCTAAACACTTGAGATTTGTAAATGCAACTATCTCGATTATTTGAATCCTCGGGGATCTGTCTTAAGGGCTACATGAACGCGGGATTTCAATTATTTCGATTAACTAGTTGTTCTTAAAATTTTAGCTCCCATACCACTATATAACACATAACAGTCGTGAAATCACGATGTTCTTCCACACATGTAACGTACTGTAATCTGATCATGTAGAGTAGTGCTTGAAGAGCCTTGCTACTGCATTTGGCTCAAGATGAAAAATAAGCTTTGCTGAGCTGAGCCTGAACTTCAGGGTCGGGGCTGGTTTGTGCTTGTCCCTTCCTGCGTTCCTACCCTACATTCCCGTGTTGGTTGGTTGGGGTCGGAATAACTGATTATCAACCGTAGTGCTTTGTGTTTTTCTCGGGTTAATTGAAGGGTTCTAGCTACCTTGATGGACGTGAATCACCCTCGTACCCCGGAAGTGCTTCCCCGCCCACAACCGAAGACTCGTTTCTAGGGCAGGAAAGTCCGCTCGTCGTAAGTGTGAGGCTTAGCAGCGTTGGGTATCAGGCTGAGTCGGCTGGTCTTTATCAGGACGCAGACAGTGTCCCTTTCAGGAGGCCAGACGGATCTCATCGGCTTGTATTGCGTGTGCTTAAGACAGCTCCCTGGTCTCAAGGTGAAGAAACCATTATTAAGATTGTATTCAGAAGACGAGACTGTTTCATCTTCTTCGGCTTCGGTTGCTAAGGGTCCTTCCAAGGATAGGTTGGTTCCTACTCCAAAGGTTTCGTGGGCCAATAAGGCATCATGCGAGAAGGCATTTTTTGCTAAGCCGTCGCAGAGGGCGAAGGCTGGTGGTATTTAGGCTTAACTTGCCTTCTACATCCAAGTGGCTATCCACTCCCGCGACTTCACTTCGTCCTTCTACAGGATCCCGAACGAGTGTTGCTGAGCCGGTTGGCCCTCCACCGAAAGCTGTGCAAAAAACCTCCTCGAGCGTTCCGGAGCCGATTGGTCCTCCGCCGAAGGCCGCGCGAAAACTTCCTGTTCGTGAGCCGGAAGGGAGAAGTAGTAATCTGCGTTTTTGTTAGGTTATCTGCGTCTTCATTTTTTGGGTTATTTGCGTCTGTTTTTTTTGAGTTATCTGCGTCTTTATTTTTTGGGCTATCTGGCACCTGCTACGTTTTCTAGCTAATCGCAGGGTTATTTGCGTCATTTTTCGGGTGTTATCAGCGTCTTGTTCTTTTGGTTTGGATATTAACCCAAAAATGCCAAAGCAAATCAACAATAAATCATAAAAAACACATGCAAACCTCAGAAAAAAAACAATGATAACCTGTAAACAACTAAGACCCACATAGGTTCACAACATATCTTTAACACTCCCCCTCATTTGGCAATTCCGGTGCATCATATATCTTAAACAGGCCCCCCCTGGGACCTACCTCATTTTCGGGCTGACCACTGAGTTATTTCCGTTTGTTCTTTCACACCGCACCATTGGGCGATTCCGGTTTATATATTTAAACACCTCCCTCATGTGGCGATTCCGGTTATCATATACGTTAAACACGCCAGACCAGTGGGCTTCATCATATACCTTCAACGCCCCCAATTGGGCGATTCCGGTTTATCATGATTGCGTTTCATCATATCATCCCAAAACCTACCCGTGGTTGGGCGATTCGATCGATCAAATATCTTTAACACGCCTTTCCCAATGGAGCCGATTTATCTTTATGCATCCCCTCGTTTGGGGATTGCGGCCCAATTCAGCATGTCATCTTGAAAGCGTCTTCATTTGGCGATTCCGGTGCATCATATATCTTGAACAAGTATCTCAAACATGCCCCTTCATTTGGCGATTCCGGTTATCATATACCTAAAACACGCCAGACCAGCGGGGTTGATCATTCATCTTAAACATTGGGCTTTGGGGTTTTATGCACCGGAGTTGTCGCGAATCTTTTTGATCTCTGAGCTCTACAGGCGTTTACTCTTTAGTATGGGTCTTGCTGTGCTTTCAGAAAAACAGTCTGGGCGGGGATAGAAGATTTCTGGCTGTTGCTGAGGATTGTATTTGGCAGACATGAACTCTTTAACCTGTCCTGGTAAGAGCTGAAGATTAAAAAACCGAGTCTTGGGCTATCTACCACTATAAAATGTACACATGTAAGGTTTCCAATGACGCCTGTAAAATCAAGACAGACATGGATACGCAAATCAAAAACGAGAACACAAACAAGACACAGACGACGCAGCAAAAACACAGATGACACCAAAACACAAAGATCACCCAGCAACTTGGGCACGGGAAGCCATTCCTTGGGACATGAGACCTAAAGAAAACACACGCAGATAACGCACAAAAAACAACACGGAGACGAAAATATAACGCAAAACAATACACAGATCACCCCCTTACCGCCGGCAGGTCCTCCGCCTCGAGGATTGAGCAGGCTTTGGGCTGCGAGAGGATGCGGGCGGCTTTGTGTGACCATCAAGGCTTCGCAGCTTGAAGTCTTGAAGGTTGCCGCCGTATTGTCGGCTGGGATCTCTTGAGGTTCTTGATTAGGACGGTCGTGATCGTACGAACTGGAAGTTCCCGGGCCTTCCTTGGAGGAACCAACAAGTTTTGAAGCATATCCACGAAGGCATCAGGCAGGGACAGATTTTGTCTATCGCTTGTTCGCATTGCCATCACGAGGACACGAGGCTGCAGGTGTTGAACACCTTTATTGAAGGCTTGCGACGACGTCATTGCTCAGTAGAAGGCCGCCATCCAAGGCGCACTCGTTTTTGCATCCACTGTGCACTCATGCATCCAGGGAGCACTCAGGGTCCCTTATGTACTGCAAAAATGGGGCTACGGTGCCCCTGCCAGGGCGAACTCAGGGGATTCATTCCATGAGGTTTTCGTGTTCGGCAACAGATTCTCACTGGATTCACTCCTTAGGGTTTCCGTCTTGGGGAAAGGGTTCCTGCTGGATTCACTCCTTAGGGTTTCGCCTTGGTTCTTGCTGGATTCACTCCTTAGGTTTTTCTCCTGGCTAAAACGTTCCTGCTAATTTCACTCCTTAGGGTTTTCGTGTTTGGCAACAAATTCTCACTGGATTCACTCACTAGGGATTCCGTCTTGTGGAGAAGGTTCCTGCTAATTTCGCTCCTTAGGGTTTTCGTGTTCGGCAACAGATTCTCACTGGATTCACTCCTTGGGGTTTCCGTCGTGGGGGAAAGGTTCCTGCTGGATTCACTCCTTAGGCCTGTTAGGCTTTCGCCTTAGGCAGAAGGTTCCTGCTGGATGCACACGCGCGAGTGCACGGCAAGGCTCGAACAGACTCGGGCAGGGCCGCGGCAGCTCGATTTTTACGGTACAGAAACAACATGCGAGTGCACAGAAGGGGGCCCGAACAGACTCGGGCAGGGGCGACAGCGCGATTTTTACGGTATGGAAGCGAAGTACGAGTGCAGCTCGGACACGCCTACACAGGGTGTATTGGTAAGTTGGCTGTTCTCAACGTGCTTGCCAACAACGGTGCGATTCCAGCGATCCACATTGACGGTGTAACCGAGCTTTCGGGGAATCGCGGCATCACCCGGTTCATTGCCGTTCCTCGTCGAGGTCGCACCGAGTATCCTCAAGCTCCGACTCCGTCTTTCAGTTGCCCTAGTGACGCTGAGCAGACGCTGGCAGAGTTTGCGCAGCGTTGCTTGAGCCTGAAGGTAGTTTCGCTGCCATCTTCTGTGCCTTGATTCGCTGCTTTAGCGCCTCTTGCGACTGGAGAGCCATTTACCTTTTCAGTCTGTTGTGCAGGGGCTCAGCATTGGTTAAGGTTTATCCTAGGGCAATCGTTTCACTCTTGTCTGACCGGCGCCTTGTGCGACGGACTTCGCACAACAGCAGGGATTGATGCTGTGCTTCAGGGGGTCTGAGAGCAGCTCGGGCTTAGCTGAAACGGAACGATCACCTCCTACCACTAGGAAGGCATTGGCTCGAACTCCTCGAATCCAGCCGTCCCCATACCCTGTGGCTTCCATGTCTCCTGTTGCGCTCGTCACTCATCCTAGGGTTCAGAATCAGATGAATCAGTTGAACATCGGAGCAATGGTTGCGCTGTTGCAGCAGACGAGGCCGCTAACAGGGTTGCCGCTCAGGCAGAAGTACTACATCAAGCCTCAATGTAAGAAGTTCAGAGTCAGGTTCGCAATGTTATTGCCGAAGCAGGGGCAGGTAGTACTGTTGAATAACTGCGAGAGCAACTTCGCACGTCCGAAGTCCGGTGTGGTGAGTTGTTTGAGTACGGTCAATCCACCGGGAGGTAGGTAGACTAGCTAGAGTAACGTACTAGCCGAGACACAACCACGGAGCTCGCACAACCAAGCTCGCACACCGGACTCTCTCTTTTTCAAGGATGTGGCAGCTGTACGTAGCTCACAGTTTTTCTGAGATAGCTCTTCGGACGTCTCCATCAAAATTAGCATAGACGGATACTTGGTTGTCATAGCCTTCTGAAGTAGGGCTTCATTGGACTTGTTGTCCGTATAGCCCCTAATGGCAACTCGCGAGGTCTTTCTAGCCTCGCCCTCCGGGACCCAAAGACGTATCCCGACGAGGGTCACTAGCAACTCTAGCGCAGCTATCACCTTCTTCGGGTCGCATTTCGCGAAAGCCCAAGGTGCCCAGCTCCTATCCACTTCTAGCGAGAACCAGGGGCCGGTCTTGCCCACCTCGCCCTCGAGAAAATTAACCTCCTATCCACGCACGATCCGCTTCCGCCTTAGCATCGGTGAAGAAGCTCAAAGATGGTAGCCCGGAAAGTAGCCTCGTAGGACGCTGAAGTCTATCTCCTGAAAAAAGCCTCTCAGCTAGCCAAGTCATGAGAACCCGAAGCGTTGTGGGGATCATTGCCTTGGATAGCCGATGACCGCGCATGGAGTGGTCCCAGGAACGGCCTCTTCCAGTCGAGCGGGATTTCGCTAGCCCTTGCTGCGTCTCCTTGGCCGTAATCTTCCCGAGCTGAGTTTTCTCAGCCAGCCAATTGGCTAGCCAGGAGGCTTGCTTCTCGGACATGCCCAGCCGGTAGGTCTTGTAGTCCGTCTCCATGCCTAGCCATTCCACTTGGTAGCCAATCCGGGAAAGCCCAGCACCGAAAGGAAGAGATAGCGCCCTTGCCGTCCCTTCGAGCCTCCCCGGGAGTCTCAAGGTCATCTGCGTGCAGCAGTAGCTCCAAGAAATAGCCGGAGCCCACCAGATCTGGTGGGTTGCCCTTATCCCACATGGCGGGGGATAGCCAAAGGTGCGATCTGGCTATCCGGGTCGCCGGGTATCGTCTCCTCCTCGTCTATCTGGCAGCCCATGTAGCCGTGCTCGCTCTCCCGGTGCTTAGCGCCGATGGGCCTTGGAGATATCCCGACGACCTCTAGCTCTCGGAGGATTTGTTTCTTCTCTAGCCCCCGGGGCCCGGATCTTATCCCGACACTTATCCGGTTGTTGACCTTGACACCGTGGGTTATCAATGACCGCCAGGGCGGCGATAGCCCGGTGCTCTCCGAACTTCGCCTTGAACTCGTCCAAGGTCATCCTATCCATGAGACCCTCGTCGACGTCCTCGTCGAACTTAGCCCGGACAAACTCCTTGTGCTCGCCCTTTACCAATGGGAATGTTTTTGACATCCAGCATTCACGAAACATTGGTTTTACCAATGCTTTTGACATCCAGCATTCACGAAACATTGGTTTTACCAATGCTTTTGACATCCAGCATTCACGAAACATTGCTTTTACCAATGCTTTTGACATCCAGCATTCACGAAACATTGGTTTTATCAATATTTTTGATGTGGTGCCTAATTGTTACTACTCTTCTCATTAAATTAAGCCAATGTTCCCTGCTAGGTATCAAAGTAGAAACGAGTGGTACCACTCTAGGGGCATGTAACCGCACGGCGCAGTCGTGACTCCAACACTCGACTATCCTGTGAAAGGCATGATATTATTATTGTTATTTGCTACCATAACAGTTACTCGTATTTGTGCTTTTCCTTGTTACTATTGGTATTTAGCCGGCATGTGGTACGTGGGAAGCAGTTGTGTACGTGTGCGACATACTGGCGTGCGCAGACTGACGTGGTTCTGAGCCCGGTAGCCCTCTGTAACACAACATGGTCATGCTGCAATGGGAGTTCGCTGTTTGCATATGGAAGAATCTACCCCGCCATGTGGCAAACGACATTCTGATGCTCGTGCTCGACCATGCGCCGGAAGACCCACGCAGAACACCATCTGCTCCAACTCATGCTCCTCGTCGTTATCGCACGCTTGCAAGCGGCATTTGGGCAGAAATTCATCTGACAGTTGTTGTGATGTGTCAGACTCAACCTGATTATAGTCGTAGTCACAACTTCCATCAAAGTCACCGTCGTTTGGAGGTACAAGGACGTGTGTTTCTCCATGAACGCATGGCGATGATGTGTCTCTGACCGAGTTTGAGTACGCCTTGCTTTCGAAGGATCTCACCAAGTGAGCTCAGACTGCTGCTCTTTCGCGATTGTGAAGGTGCATCTGACTAAATTAGAATACACCTTGCTGTTGCAAGAACTCACACAGTGGCCTCAGACGGGTGCGAAAAGACAGCTGTGCGCATGCATGGTGTCTGTCGTGTGCATATTCATGCATTCTTCCATGGTGTCCTACACCCGAAGCAGTGAGGACTTCGAACAGTTAGCAACACATAGCAATCCCCTTAGCCTCATCATAGTCCATGGCGGCTCGTGATGGTAACACGGATTGCACCACAGGCATCAATGCTACCCGCGGGATGCACTGATCCAAGCCGCTCCCGTATGCAGTATGGTCAAACCAGGCATGTGGCGGTGGCACTATTCCAGATCTTGCAATGACTGCCCTTCCAGACAATTGTGTGGTCAAGCACTTTCGATGTCATCATGGATGTGCCGCCACCCAACAAACAGCTGATCGAGTCTGTCATCAACCCGGGAAAATGGTCTCAAGCTCCTACTCCGTTCTGCCCCTGGACTGTCATGGACGTCGAGCTTATTACCCAACTCGTAGTCCTCCCGCAACACAACGGTAACATGTGCGTCCTTGGTTTCTTGAACAGCTGGGAGGTTGGCAGTGCAGGTTCCTCGGCCTTTCTCTCGTGTACGCACATCAGCAAAAGAGCTCAGGTGGTGGTTTCCACTTGGGAGATCTGACTGAGGAAGACATCGACAAGGGGTTCGCCTTCATTGAGCAGGAGGCGGCCCACCGCGCCAGTGAGTACAAAAGGGTTCAATGGATCACGAAGAACTTGAACATCAATGCGGATTCACCAATTTATCAATGGCCCGTCGGAGTGGTTGAAATATCGCTTCGGGCTATCCAAACAGATGGTGTTCTTTCCCTGCCGGTGGAGGACCTTTACCTTAGTCTCGCAGACTTGGAATTTGACGTGCTCCACTTTGGCATGCGCCAAATCATCAAGAGCATGATGACCCGCGCTGCGGGCATCGTGGGTGGGCCAGGTGGCGGGAAGACGCCACTGGCAGGGATCTTAGCTTTGTGTGCTTCTCGCTATTGGAAACGCCAACTTTCCCTGACATCCCCGCCTTCTTTTCGCGAAGCCTCTGAATTTGACTTCTTCCGCGGAAAACCGGGCCGCAAGGATCGCCCAGATATTCACGATGATGGGCGCCTCGCTGAAGAACCGATTAGCACGATGAAAGGCTTTACAGATGTAGGCTGCACGATGCTGACTAAGGAACGTTGGGGGGCAGCCAAGTTCGTGCAGGGTCAGTTTCGGGTGTTTGTCTCGATTACGACACCACGGCTTGGGTAGATGCCCACCAGGACATGGAACTGTCTCTCACATGCTCCATGAAGATTTCCTGAAGGTGATCCGCCCTGTCTTTCCCAACGACACGCACACATCATGGCTGTGTTGAAGCGTGCAAACATCTTGGTGAACGTCGGCAAGCTCTTGATTTTCAGGGAAGCAGGTCAGCATGAAAAGTCCGTGCCCTGTCTCTCGATGGAAAGTCATGTGGACTACCTCAAGCTTGATGGACAGCGGAAGTACCACCAGTATCTGCACGGCAAGCTCTCCAAACCTTCGTCCAGGGAATGGGAGGCGAGCTATGTGGATGCACTCCTCAATGGCAAAACCTTGCCATCTCCAAAACCAACAATCCGAAATGCTGATGCAGTTCGTCGTCTCTTTCGTGGTGTAAGCCCTCGGGTCGTGAAGTGCGGCCCCTCGCAACTTGCCAGCACCATCTACTTCAGCAAACCCATCAAGGGTGGTCCCTTCCCAAACGCGGTCGCTGCGAAGCAAGAGTCTTTCCAGTTTGGTAGAGCTTTGTCTGGTCTCTCTGGCCAGTGTATCGACCTTTGCTCGCCCCCCAAGAAGGTTTCAAAGACAGTAATTACTTCGGACGTGAAGGTGGAAATGCCCGAAGAGGTCACTTGAAATGCAGCAAGTGTTGTCGATCTCCATGCTGAGCCCGTTCGCATTCACAGTCTATCCCACTCTGACCCTGTCCCTGCGGAGTCATCGGTTGCGCTTGTCCTTTCTCCACGCGACGAAATGGATGTCGCGAGTGATGTAGTCAACCCCTCGGACGACTTGGAGGCAGAATTGGAAAGGTACCTGGAGGAACTAGGAGTTCTGAGCCCCTACATCATGGACTGGTCGCCTACTACAAGATCTGATGCCGTGAAGCTCACTTCCTACAAGATCTGATGCCATGAAGCTCACATGTTCATAGCTTCGCAGAGTTGGTATTCAAGAGGTTACTCCCGCAACAGTACATTCGTGTCCACAGTACATATCTTAGTTCTTACATGAAGTTTGCCCATGTATCATGTAAACTTAGTGGTGTAGCAGTAGTGCAACTTTGTATATACATATGTTGTAAGGTTCAATGGCCATTTTCATACTCGGTTATACATATTACAGGACGATGACTCTAGATATAGGTTGTGTTTAGACCATAGCACGCGCATCCACACTCACTGTCGCAGTCATCCACTACTGCATGAAACTTCTGCTGCCAGGGAACCCTTTCGAAGCTCAAGGTGGAAGGTCGCAGTGGTCAACTCAAGCATCGTTGCGGTCGCAAGGTGTGTCAGCGATGGATGAACCCGCATCACCTACACCCTCTTTTCACAGAAAGGCAAGGGTCCTCAAGCACATCCTCTACAATCCCAAGCCGCCCTACTGCTTCTCAAACTCCACAGAGTTCCACAAAGTATCATCCACATGCTCTTGAATGTGAACCACAAAGCCATTGAGGATTTGGAGCGCAAACTTTGCAAACTCCGACAAGCGCATGTGGAAAGCAAGGAGAATGCTATCTATCCAATTCGGCAATGGCAAATCATTGGTTGATGTAGAAGCAGATGAAGCGACTTTTGACAAGAAGGCCATTTCGAATTGCTTGGAATTCCAGCACCTCATCAAGTCGCCTAATGCCACTGTAATGTGGGAGCAGTGGGCGGGGATCGTGCAGCGGGGCAAGCCCCAAACCTTGATCCTCTACAAGTTGCAGCCGAAAATCACAGTGAAGCGAGCCCCTGGGCCCGTTGCCATTCGAAGGATCGAATGGAAGGGCTTGGCAGCAAAGTGGCTCCTGAATCGCAAGGTCGTGTTGCACACGGATTCTGCCAAAAGCTACAAACTGAAGGTTTCTGGCGTGCTGCATGACCGCGTGGTCCACTGCAAGAAGAGGGTCAAGATTCAAGGCAAGTGGACGTGGGTGGCACCACACTATGTGCGCATTGTGAAGCACAAGCTCCCTGGCGGTAAGGGTAAGACTGTGTCGGTCAAATCGGGCACGCAGATCATAGATCGGTGCTGGCGATTCTTGAAGGAGCGTGTCCGTGTCAATCAGCACACAAAGTGCGGGCAGTGCATTGCTTCGAGCGAAGCTCAGAAGCGCCCAGTACGAATACTGGCACCGCACTGACGATTTGCGGGTGGCCACCGGACATCTCTGCCATGATTCCATGAAGAAATTCATGTCGTGACTCCATTTACACCGCATCTTCTCATTCGCGCTGTGGTCTGGAAACCATGCTCGTTCATTACTGCTGTATGCACATGTTCATGATGCAAATCAAATGAACACTTGCATGATTCTGCTGCATCTTCACAGCCATTTGGACCAGGCATACAGTACATATCCACGTCAGAGTCACAGTGTTACCATCACACAGCCGCCTCTCGTATCAGCTACAGGCTACAATACAATCAAGCAAAGTGTAGGAGCAACATGATGCCAACACAGACGAAAAGTGGATACATGAGGGGGGGGGGGTAGCATATGTATATATATATATATGTATATGTCCGTGTGTTCACATAACGACCAATCCTGTCATGTCAAGTCGTATGATCGTATGGGTCAAAACAATAAAAAGTCGTTGAGTCTCACTTGCTGCGGTTTCTCTCTTCTGTTTTGGAACGTCCTTTAATCTAAGCTATCTTTTTCAAACTTATGCTAACCTTCCCAACCACCCACCCACCCATCCGAATCGCCATGTTAGTGTGTTAAGGAGCAAGAGCGCCACACCCTTTGTTCATGCTTCCTGTTTTTGTATTTAGCCTTGACGGGGATGGCACACGCGCAGCGTCGTGCAACCTCCCTCTTAATTGACTTCTTCTTTGGACTCTCTCTACAGAGGGATTTTTTCAGCTCTACATTCGCGGCCAACAACACTGAAATCGGTTCCGCTCTGACAGGGCGCCTCCGTGCGTAGAGAAGGCGCGTCCCGCACCCCCTTTTTGCATCACTCTACTGGTACTATACAGTTGGCAGGGGACTCTCAATGTATACGTAAACTTGTTGATGCATCTTTGAACTTGATCCTTCAGACAATCTCTACAAAATCGGCCGCATTGTGCTAAAGCTTGTAATTGAAGAAAAGCACGAATGATGGTGTCCGCATTGACGTAGTCGAGTGGAAGATGGCGGGCACGCGACACCGATATGGCTCAGAAGAGTGGCTCAGAAGAGTGGCTCAGAAGTTCGGTATGTTCTGCCACCAGCTGAACGAGGTGCTGGAAAGTGTCCTCTGACCAAACGACTGAATCAAGACATAGGTGTCGTTCATAGGGGACGAAGCGATCAATGCCAACACAGGCCGGACATCGAACCAAATTTCCTGCTACAGGAATGCCCGCTTGATCAGCTGTTCTTTTTAGGGTTTCGCACTTCTCGGGATGGCTATGGATGTTGGCGTCTAAACAAGAGCAAAATGAGAACATGAATCAAAGACCATCGCTGTTATTAGCGTCACGACGACACTCAGTAACAACACGGCTTGTTTGTACTTTGACGGTACAATTCTCTAACGCTTGATTGAATTTGAGCTCGTTGGATTTGCCTGCCTTGGGCAATACTTGTACAAAACTGAGCATGAGCATGGCTGCCTGCTTTGCCTGTGGTCCTCACAGATGAGACGCCGAGGACCTTTGCAACAATAATGTTGAACTTTGTTCCATGACGTGTGCAAGTGTTGCTCCACGTCACGGGACATAGCTTGAGACCGATCTGTGTTGCAAACAAAAATCTTCGGTCGCTGTATGTGTATGATGTGTGCATTTAAACTGACCTTTGGTCGTTGACTCAACCTTTGGCGGCATCGGCTGGAGTTACTCTCAGTCGCAGTGGTTTGAGCTGAAAACGATATCGAAGACGAAGATGAAGTACAGTCGAAAGATTCGGAAGAACCGGTTTTAGCGGAAGCCTCTTGTCGACGTTTGGTCGATTTGTTTGACTTGATCCTGGACTTGCGTTGCTTTTCCATGGCCACTTTCTTGGCCTTCGACACATACACACACACAGACACACACAGACACCGCGGAGGCAGCTCTCCACCCGTGAGACCGCATTGTGCTCGCAGTTCAGGTGCGGCGGCTGGGCCGCCAAGCCGTATTGAGCCAGAGGCAGTGATGGTCAAAGCCGGCCACGCACTTCTCACCTCACGTAGCGAAGTAGCCACGGCCGCAATGTGGACGAGAAGACTCTGGGCACTGCACATCGACGGCAGTGCCGAGTCTTCGGCACCAGCTGGAAGACGCACCTCCAAAACAAGAGCCCATGCAAATTCTCCCATGGCCGTTACCGAAAGGCTGCTTCGCATAGGCGTGAGGCAGCTGCCCGTGCTTGCAGCGTCCCACGCGACCTTGGGGGGTTCAGGGCGCGGAGAACTGGCGACGACCTGTCGCGGCTGGGTGCCGTGCCCTTGCTGGGCCGCCGAGCTCTCGGGTCCTGAGCGAAGAGGAGACGACGGCGACGTACGGCCGGCACTTGGGCTTCAGGGGGCCCCCTGCGTAGTGCAGGAGCCAGGCCAGCAACGGCAGCCAGACTGTGCAAATTGCGTCTTTGTATAACGTCTGGAGCGAGTCGCGTCCCTTCTGTCAAGCACCGGGCTGAAGAGGAGCCCTGCCCAGGCCTCCGATTCGCGGGATTCGCGATTCGTCTGGATTCCTGGGTCCCTTCTCCCTTCTCCCCTCCCGGTCCCTCCCGCCAGACCTGCCGCGCCAAGAGGTCTAACTCGCTCTGGTCTGGAGGCAGATCTGCAGCGTCAGACCGGCTCACCGGAAACTCGAGTTGAAGCGATTTAGGACACTCGATAGCGAGAGCATCAGCTAGCAGGGATATGATAGATGAGCATATGCTAGGAATCTGCGAGGAAAGGGTAGGATAGGGCAGATAGGCCGACGTGATGTGACGTGAGATGTTGTAGCTTGCAGTCAGCTTTACGACTCTAAGACAGGTAAAGAGAGCCAACAATTCGTATGATTGTTTCTCTGGATTTGCTGGGTGCAGTAGCAAACGGATTCTCGGGAGTACTTAGCATGGTTTTCTCTCTCTGTCTTCCTGTCATTATCTGTCATTCTTACAATGCTTCTATCTTTTTCTGTGCGCCTTCATCCTCTTCTTAGCCTCCCTCCTCCGACCCCAACAACATAACAGACAAAACCTGCCCCACCGCTGTGCAGCATCCACCACAAAGGGGGCGGAGCAATGACATCAAGCTCCAAATCCACAAACCTTACCGGCAAACCGTACAGTCCCTGACCCGCTGGACTTTCACCACTGGTCGAAAGGGCATGTGGCCCCAAGACCTGGTTTAAGACTGGCGGGTGCTCTTTTTGGTTCCTTTTTTCAGGCGATGGATGGATTGCTTCTGTGCAACGCCAGCCTGGCTCCGAGTAGTTTAACCGTGCAGAGAGATCCGGTGAGTCTCTTCGAGGTGTCTTTGTAACATGATTCAATTTATTCAATGATTTCCCTCTAAGGCTCGGTAACTTCTAGAGTCGGAGAGAAAAAGGACTGTGGTGGCTTGAAACCCTGAGCCCGGATTGAGCGGCAAGATTCTCCAAAACAAAATGTATTGAGAGTCGAGACACCGGATGTGTTGGATCGGGCTGAATGGAAATAACCTATATATATATATATATATACATATACACATGTAGATCTACATAGCGGACGGGAAAACAGTAAGCAATTATGTTTATGTTTGTACATACGTATGTATTATATATATATATATTTTGTATGGTCACCCCCCCCCCCCCCAAGATCAACACCCGCCTCTTCCGCACGACTGCACAGGTTGCTTCCCTACATT